TCACGCGTGTTGGTCTCAAACAGCTATGGGAACTTACGGTCAAATTTATTGATGATGGTAAACATATATTTAATTACTGGCTGAAGATTCGACTACATAAAGAAAGGACCGAACACGTTAATATCCATCACAAGTAAATGCACCTCCAAATTATCTGAAAGATATGTTCTGCACATTTTTTCCAGTGTTTTTAACCTCGATTAACACGTGTACAAGTGATTTGCTGATTTATATAATTATGTGTTCCTGACACATTATAATTTTTCAAGCATGTTATTGTTACTGCCTGTTATCGCCTCGTTTATGTGATTAACATCGAGTCCATGTGTCTACGGGCTGGACAAAGCAAAGTACACAGGGGCACGTGGCGGAACTATGATGATTACGCAAGCAGACCGCCAGAACCTGACCAATCGAGTAGCTGCTGTATCGAGTAGAGCATGAAATACTACTCAGTTCTATTTAACAAATATCACCAGTTAGCTAGGGTGATGCTCATTTGTAAATTAAATAGACCGACATCTAGTCAACAACAAATATCAACAGCCAGGCCATGCAAGTTTATCCTGTATAAGAAAATGTTCACTGTGGTACGCGCTATTTTAAGCCAGGTTCGGTCTCAGTACAAGGGTGCGTATATATTGAACAATTTTGATCACTCCTTTCGCTTCTTTCGCATGATTCTTCGCGTAGATGACAGTGCTGAGTGTAAACAGTGTTGGTTAGGACAGCAAGCGTTGTGATTGCCGCTCAGTGTTCTATGAAGAGTAAATTGAAAGGGCTCGTCCTAAACTTTTTGTGTATTGTTGCTTTTAGCTCAGTTGCGACGTCATCATATATATATTGTGCCATGTATTTCGCAAACTATATTTCACGACATATACCAATTTCATCATTTTATATGCGCTGTAATTAATTCTTTTGTTCAAGAGCATAACTAAGATTAGACTTTTAAAATACTCCGGACGCAAAGATGTACCAAACACGCAATGGCGCACCAACTTGTGTTTGAGTGAAGAGGCAAACCAAACCCCCCACCAAGGGGCGGTGCATCCCTTGGGCGCGCCGCCGGCCAGTGTTTGCCCTGCCCAGTGGCGGCTGTTAAGGGGGGGGGGGGGGGGGGGCCAGAGCCCCCCATGCCCCCCCCCCCCCCCCCCCCCCCCCCCCGGTTGGTGGTACGCCCATGCAAACACGGGTGTTTTAGGCGAACTTCCACATTTCGTGACAAGCTTCCGATTCAAATTGCTTGGGGCCCGACCTGCGGGATATTCTTCAGCCAGTTTCAGAGTTCTCCTCGTCACACTTTCCTTTTTCGCCCTCCCTTAAGGGGTGTCCAAACAGGACACTACAAAACGCACGACTCCGACAAATCGTGAAAATTGAAGCGGACTCGCCCGCTTCAAGCCCGCTTCAATTTTCACGATTTGTCGGAGTCGTGCGTTTTGTAATGTCCTGTTTGGACACCCCTTTAGTGGGGGGGGGGGGGGGGGGGGGGGGGGGGGGGTGACGATGGGGCCCCCCTTTCATGACGGCACCTTTCTCCGTGAAGGGACAAACCTCCCTTCACGAGGGGGCCTCCAGTCGCCCTCAGTGGGGGAGGGCGGGAGGAAGACTGGCGAGGAGGGCTTCCACCGTCACTGAGGAGTGTTTTACAGGTCGGGCATTACGATTGTTTGGAAATTTTTCGAACTTTGTGATTGTTTGTTTCCTGGTTGTTTGATTGTTTTTTCTCTGGTTTTTGCTTGTTTTGTTTCCTGGAGGGTCGGCTAGCAGACGCTCTCGCGTACAGGCGCCTTCCTGCTTCGGCTCGCACGCCCTCCAGGACACAGCCCGCTCTTTGTGCAAATAAGAAGTATTATTACTCCATGTGAGTGATGTAAACAAATAGATGTTGAGTCGTATAACCACGACGTTTTGTATGCTATTTAAGACTTTTTTTACCTTTCCGTTGAAATTAAATAGCGCAATTTCTTATTTTTTTATTTGAAAATAAAGATTGATTGTGCGAAAGATAAGAAACTACATAATTACTCGTTTTACGGCGGCAATCGTGTCTATTGCAAAAACAACGCGGAAAATATGTTCTCAATTTAGCGGTTCGAACCGGTTTAAACCTCGTATCCAGCGACTTTAATTTGAACCGCTCCCCGGAGCTGAACCGGAATTGAACCAAAAGCCGTGAACCCGAACCCAAACTGAACCGATAAGAATGGCGGTTCGAGATTCCTCACGCAGCAGGTGCAATGAACAAAATTGAACGAGTGCAAAAAAAACTTGCTGGAAGATTAGCGTCAGGTTTACTGGAACAAGCTAACATCCAATCACTGGAAACTAGAGCGACAATAAACAGATTGCGTATTTTACTACTCTTTTATCCATGGGTTATTTGATGTTAAAGGGTCATGAAACAATTTCCAACTTTTTCCTGTTTAGCTTTCCTCCTCAACTCATAAATCGCGCATTGAACCAAACAGGACTCTTGTTTGTGTACCCGGGCACAGCCATTCTCCCCTAGAAGAGTAGCTCGTCGCTCAAAATGCAGACAAAGGTTGCTTTCCCCACCCTGTTCACCCCGAAGCTGACAGTGCTGTGGAAGCTGCGTGCTCCTTGGGCCAGCCACACCTTTGCCACGTGATCACGCCCACGCGCAGAGGATGAGGTCAGGTGATGAAAGGAAAGCGGCTGATTGGTCCGGCAAGCGCGTCGCTTCCACCACAATGCCAGCTCAGGGTTGAGGGGATTAAGTGAGATCCGGTGTCGTGTGACGTGCGTTTGGGCCCGGTGATGCGCTGCGGGGACCGCGGATGTATCGCAGTGAAAAGGCAGAGAGCTTACGAAGGGAAGGCGTCCGATCCGACGTCCGACCGCGCAATACGGCGGTCGGAGGCGAGGGTTTTCAACGCTCTCCGATGCTACGAAAACCCTCTCCCCCCAAGGTCATTCCGGCAGTCCGCACGTCGGATCGAACGGTTTCGTCGTACATGTGTTTCGCGCTGTACCGCAGTGTTCTCAAATTTTCGTACCGAAAGTCGGGTTTTTGACTTTCTACCTTTTTTTCTTTTGGCCCACTGAACGATGTGCTATTAGTAAAATCCCAATCTAAATTTATTTATTAATAGTGCGAAATACGTAGAATTTTTTTAAACAGGATCGGCTACACTAAATCGTACAAGGGATTGTACGATACAAATTGTATCGTACAATCGTACGATACAATTTTAGGCACGATTTGTTTCGATATTCTTATTTCCCTGCAACAATCGACGTTTGGACGTATCGACGCATGGGAGGGGGTTGTAACCCTTCCGTCGTTGTACGTTTTTGTTCAGGCAATTACTTGTACAACGACTAAGTGTTCTCGAGGGCAATATGCCATTGTTTTTTTGTAACCAGCCCTGCTATGGCCCACAAGTAAAGCAAAAACATATAAAACGTTGATGTCTGTATTTGTTGAAAATTCCTCCAGATTCCCTTCCCTTCGAAGAAACATATTTTAAATCCGTAACATAGTACGTGGCCCAACGAGCGCCTAGCTTCCACTGTACTCGGGGCTGATCATTTTGGAAGAAAAAGAACGGAAGCACACGTCTTTCTCGATTTTTTGTTTTCTTTCGAGTATGCTTGCACCGCTCCCCAACGATCCATCGTCCCCCGACCCCCTGCTCCCGAGAAATATACAATCGCGGCGAGAACAAAAGCGCTTTTACTTTTACAACGCACCCGCCCCCTTCCTCCTTCCCGGTCGAGAGGTCGAACAAAAGCAAACACAAACAACCCAAGCGGAGTAGGGGAGGCCAGGGAGGCGGGCGGCATCGCGTTGTCCGTGAGCTTTCCTACCGTAGGCCGCTCGTCGGCTGGCCTCGCGCAATCAACATGACCTCTATGGAGACACAGGCGAGTATCCCTTGATCTTCGAAACCTTTCTAACCGGAGCCCATTTCGCTCCGTTACCGCAGTAGCATCGAGCGACAGCGTACCGCCGTAGCCCCGCGCCGAGCCGCCAAAGCTGTTTCCGACCGAGGAAGCATTCGCACACTCCAAATTTGTGCCGTCGGTTTGCGTCCGACTTTGTGCGTTTATTTGGAGTTGGGGAAGCAGGCTGGGGAAATGCACTATGTCTCAAAGAAGGTTTCGCCACTTTTTTGTTTATTTTCTTTGTCGCGGAAAACTCGGGAGGGAGATAGCTCGGCAAGTAGCCTATGACCTCGGGAGCCGCAAGAGATACATTGCCCTTGTCACGAGCGCATTGTTTTGACTGGCTTACCTTGCTGATCGCGCGGTAACTCGGCTATTCTTCACGCGCCTGTTTTCGGTAGCTATTGTTTCGGCGAAGGAGAGCTCGGCTTAAAAGACGTCAGGTACGTTTTCGCGTTCCCCGTGGTAATAACTGTCAATGTTTTCGCTCTTTTGGCGCCAAAGTAAGGTATTCCACACCGTCGCTTCTGGTTGGATGACTCGAAACACCCAACTCTCTGTTTGAACGAACCAATTTGTAAACATTTGAGGGCAGGTAGAGCGTTTTTGTACGACAAACCCAATCAAGAGTACGAACATAGCCTTCCTTTAGAAGCCAGTGAAATTACGTGGGTCTGTCCTTTTTTTATATCGAATGAAAATAAACAAATGCCTCCGATTTACTTCGTTCTAATTACGACAATATTCCGACTATGCACCGAGCTCCGTATTAAATATTTGGACATAAAGCGAAGGTTACACTTGCTTTGCACGGCTCAAAGTTAGCAAAGTGGCAAAGTACCCCGTAGACTCGGTGACGCCAGGCAAGCCAGTCAGCCAGTCCGGTCACACTTCACACCCTCCGGAGTTGTCTTCTTCCGCGATAAAAAGTAGTTTCGCGCGGTTCCTGTCGTCTTCGGGTAATCTATCCCATATTTATATACGATGAAAATGTCGCACATATCTATACAGTTTGCCATATAATTTTTAATAACTCGTACTGTCAAGGTTTCCTTTAAATTCAAAATATAGTGGGAGGGTAACGTCAGCGTGGCGGAGTGGTACACCACCAACTAAATTTTCGCCTCTGACGCTAAATTGTTGATGTGTTGTGATTGGTAATTATTGTGTTCCACTGCCGAGCTGCACGGCCGATTTGACCCGGATTTCGTCGAAGGCTGGCCGTTTGGCTTCACTTCAAATGGCCGTGCTTCCGTACGAAGCCTACTGACACCACAGGCCGTCTCGGTTATGCATTCAGGTAATTTCTTTGGCGGTCGACGACTGCTTTTCTTTGAGCACCGAAGTAGGCCTACAACCCCTTAACCTGTGGAAAAGAAATCCCCACGATTGCTCGCACCGTTGCAATAGGACAACGTTATTAAATGGCCCTCGTTTATCTGTTCACGCCTCTGGTGACGTTTGCTGCCGAGTTTACGAGTTGAGTGTTGCGCCTCCGCTGAGCCACTTGCGTTAGCCGATGTATCTGTACGCTCTCTTCAAGCGCAACGTTCGGTATGCATACTCCGCCCTTTCTTCAGAAAACACTGGAAACCTAAAAATGTCCTTTCGCTTACTGGGGTCTAACCGCTTTTAGCGATCATCAACATAATCGCAGCCGTATTCACGAGGTTCCGCTCCAGCTCATAGCCGAAGAGTCGAGTGTCTGCATGTTTATGGACCGAATTCTGCCCGTAGCTACGCGCTTACCGAGGTGTTACTTCCGAGAAGAAAACCATTTGAAACGAGCGCAGCCGTTTTTCTTTCTGGGTCGATCATTTGGCCGTTTTGTTTTTTTCTATTTGTTAGGAAGTATGAGTCATGACTCGCGATGGGGGACGGGAACTTCCCATTGCGGTGTGTTTTGACGATGGGATGGACTAACCTGCTGTGTCAGTTCGACCGATTTTTTTTTTTTTTTTCGCCAGTTACGAGGGGGGTTTTGACGCAGCTGTGGTTGTAAACGCCGTTGTAATTCATTTTTGTTTGTTTTGTGCTTTGGTTGGTTGCGGCAACGCGTAGAACGCAAGGGCGCCCCCGTGACTAACGTTCATCGTGAATCGAGTTGCTTTTAATCGTGTGACGTAGCTCGCGTGAATACGTCGTGGTCTCGGTTTTACGGTCGCGCTACTCATTCGGCTCTCTTGTTGTCGTTTCCTGGCCGTCGGGATCTGCTCTCGTTAGCTTTGGCGCTATTAGAAAGACCGAGGTAAGACCTGTTTGCGAAAATAGTTGGTCTCATACTTGTAGCTCGTCAGCTTTCCTTTGCCCGTTAATCCTGTCTAAATACGATAGCCTCTGCACTTCAGCCATGTATACACCTGTCTTGCTCAGAGAGGGACCACTTGGTGTTCTCGCATCATGCTCATATATTTATGTTTTTGAAAGTTTGAGCTCGGAGCAAATCGAGAGAACTTGTTGATTTCTTTAACAGGTATTGAGATAATTCCTCGATATTGATCATATCGATGCAGTCTTAATTTTAATTTTTGTTAAAAAAAAGGGAAGATGTTTTTTGTTTTTTTTTGCCATTGTTTAATTTTTTAGACGTAGGTGTTTTTAATAATCCTGTCATAATGTGCTGATATCTGACTGAAATGCTTTCTTTGTCAACAAATGATCCTGCCTTTGTATTGTTCTAATGTGCGATAAAAATGTCAAGAACGAATAACAATGCCAATAGTTTTGTACTTTGTTACTTTTTCATTTCTTTATTTTCATTCGCATCCACTGGCATATATACTTTGCTCTTTTCCTAGGAGAGAGGCTGTTCTTTGTGCTTGGATTGTCATCTGTTTTTGAGCCATGTACATTTTTAGATTTTCTCGCGTTTTCAGCTTGACATGTTAGGAATTGGTCGAGGCAAAAGGGAAGACGCTTACTCTTTTGGAATCATGCGGCATCCTTATCTATGTTTTCCCCACCTTTTAAGTTGTATCTCTGTAAGCAGGCTTGACAGCAGTTCAGCTTAACTACAGAAAGGGATAGTGCACAAAAAACAACAAAAAACCTACACAACTACCTTGGTTTAAAACAGCCAACAAGGTAGCCAAGATAGACGGCAGTGCTGACTATCAACTGAAAGTTTATGTCCACCCTTTCCAGTATATGGGCAACAGTGAAATACACAGAGTGTGAGAGAAAAGACATTCAGCATATTGTTAGCTAGGGTATAAAGTGCTGTGCCATAGTCGGTCGCTAACATGCGCCAGTAAGGAAACATATTTCTTTATCCCACAGGCACATTTGTCTTTTAGTTTGTTTATTCTTCCGTTATCTCTGGAGTTAGTTTGTCACCAGTCCTTTTAATTATTTTGCTGTTTTGGTAGTCATATGAAATAAACAAACTTAAAGATAAATCTGTCACCATGGCCTCCCTTAGTCTGTAAAGAAATGTATTTCCTTGCCGGTGCATGTTGGGGACCGACTATGACACAGCACTGTATAATCTAACTAATATCATGCTTAGACTGCATGTATTTTTGTGTCCTTTTTTTTTCACACTGTTTATTTGGCTGTTACCCATATACTGGGAGTGGTGGATATAAACTTTCAGTTGGTAGTCAGCACTGTGCCTGTCTCATCTTTACTTTGTCCTTGTCTTGTCGCACTGTTGTATACCAAGATGCTCAGCAAGCAACTAGCCCAAACATACCTTTTAGAGAATCTACGCGACTACAAGGAAAAGACAGGACACACACCTGTAAGCGCAATGTGTTTTGTCCTGCCTTCAGTATTGATGGAGAAGTGAAGTGGACATAGGAATCTGTCTTATTCAGCCATGGTGTCTCTAACCGGGGTTCTAACCCTGTGCTCAGTCGTGGTCCCTCGAGTCATGCTGCTGCCTGCAGTGATCCTGGCAGTGGCACATGAAGTGGAGCTGAATACCAACATTACTAGATCAAGCTCACAATCTTCCTAGAACGCCTTTTCGTGGCATGTCCACTCTGTGGCGCTTGCTACGCTATAGGCCCAGTGCTATGGACAGAATTGGTCTACGTGCATTCTTGTGGTGGGAGGTAATTCCCTCGTGGCTTTTATGGTAAACATAAACTTTGTGCAAAAATACCGTCATTTGAAAATGATTCTTCTCCATTGCCTATGGATGCGTTGCCACTGGTAGGGCTAGGAACGCTATCCGCCCGTACCCCCTCGTGTGCAGGCAACAGAGAAGAACTGTTTTCGATCATCATTCTTCTATTGAACTTGTCAAATGAGAGATCTGAGAACTTTGGTGGAAACAGCAGACGTCTGCTCTGCCGTAGCTTGTTCTCCAGCTTGGCAGTCCAAGGAAACTTTGGCAGCTAGGAGGTAAGACGCCACAACGACAAGTTTGCTTTGGCTCGTCTTTTTTGCCGGAACTTCTGCGACCAACAGCCAGGATCTCAACATCCGTCAGCATGACACGCGGGGTCGTCCAGTGTTATTGGTTGCCACTCCAGGACCACTTTGGATGCATGGGCAGTGTACGGGCTGTTTGCTCTTCTTCCGGCCTGCAAATACACGAGAGAAACTCCTGGCGTTAACCTTGTCTTTGGGTGGGTTCTCTAGCGAACAATTGCGCGAGAGCTACGGTTTAGAAATGCCCCGATGCTTTTAGGTTGCCGATGCGCACTGGTACGAACAAAATGTCGAGTGAAGTTTTTTCAATTATCTCGAAACAAGGAACGCCGCTGGGCACGGGTGATTGCAGTATAGCTAGCCTACTTGGATGTGCTGCCGACAGATGGCGCAAGGCACCAAATGTGAGAATGTGGCACCTCGACAGACCATCTCTGTACAACAATATGTGCCAACCGGGTCATTACGGCACGTATAAATGCAAGGTGACACGGTGCTCTGGAAAAGAACCCGGGAATGCCGAAGCAAGCGAGTCCAAACATTAGAAAAATTGTGCATTACAGAGACTCCTGTTGCGCTGAAGGAAGCGTAATAAAAACTTTGGGAGATTATCTGCTAAAACCAAAGTCTGGCTCGGCGACCCGTGCGGGGAAGTTTGGCGCATATCTTAGGCGCCGGGGGAGGTAGGTTTCCATCGTCGATGCCTTGCCATTCACAAAGTAGTCGTGCAGATATGGCAACGATACCTTTGGTAGTAGATTTGTAACCTCTTAGAGGAACAAGTGCTCTTTCTTTTCACTCGAGGGATCGGGAAGGCATGTGGATCCCGTATAAGTCAATTCCAAGAGGCACCGCAGTTAGTCCCTTGCGATGAGACATTTGAGGGCCCCCAAAAAAGAGCAAAGTCCCCCCGGAAGTTTGGCCATGTTTGTTTCCCTTAGAATGGCCTGTAGAGGTGTGTGAGGATGTGTTCCAGATGTCGTAACGACTAGCGAGGAAACCCATAAAGCTTTTCTTGGCTGCTCATTGAGAAGGGCGCTCAAAAGTTGAGCCGACGTAGAAAGGTGTCACACTCCACCTTCGGCCGCTTTGGCTGTGGCAGCGGGTGTTGCTTGTGCCCACCCTGTGACGTTCCTCGCCCACAGAGCATGGTGAGCAATGGCTACAGCGGCGGCGGAGCGGGTGGCGGCGCCTTTGACAAGCTGGAGGACGCCATGTCCACGCTGAACAGCCTCTTCTCGTTCACGAGCCCCGCGGTGAAGAAGCTGCTGGGCTGGAAGCAGGGGGATGAGGAGGAGAAATGGGCTGAGAAGGCGGTGGACTCGCTCGTCAAGAAGCTGAAGAAGCGCAAGGGGGCCATCGAGGACCTCGAGAAGGCCCTCTCGTGCCCCGGCCAGCCGTCCAAGTGCGTCACCATCCCCCGCTCCCTCGACGGCAGGCTTCAGGTGGGTGCGGGGCCCCGCCCTTCGGCCAGATTCAGTGTACGCCTGCTCGGGACTTCCATAACTGGAATGGTTTCGTACCTCGGACGCTTTTGTCGGTCTGACAGCTCTGCAAGTGGGACACTTCTGTAACTTGCATGGCAGAGACCGGTGGTTCTCAACTACTGATATTCCAGTGCTCCATTCTGGACCGACGAAAGTGATGGGGGGACCCCAGCCGCTGGGGGAGGGGGGAAGGAACGGGTGAATGAGGAAATTGCATGGCAGACCTAGGCTAAAGCTTTGAAATGGAGTATGATCAACCCTTCTTTGGGCACGCATCTGTTTAGCTTTGTGGAAGAGCCATCATCTGTAAATGATTTTATCGCTCGGCGTGACTGACGTTTGAGGGCTTAACGGTCCCTAAAGATGCCTTTGGGGACTCCAAAGAGTCCCCGAAGGCTTTCAAATTCAAACACTTCATTAAGACGGAAGCTTAGGCGTGTTGGTGATTCATCTTGAGGTCACGGCGCACTATATGAAAGCAAAAAGGGGCAGTCACAAAGAGACAAACAAAAGCGCTGACTTACAACTCTTTTGTATTCTGCATCTACTTCCTTCCTCTTCACGACACGAGTTTAAATAACAGATTGGTTATAAATGAAAATTAAAATGTTTTTCACAAACCAGTGCTATCACTGTGCTAATTATCCTACCATTTTTTGTGTGTCAGTAGTGTTGTGTCAATTGTGTCAGTACCCCATCCCTAATGCTGTCAGAAAAAGAAGTAGAATATTCAGCGCGATGATCGCAGTGGCTTGGGAGAAGAATTTTGGTTTTTCCCTATTTTCATTTATAACCGATCTGGTATTTAAACTAGTCTCATGAAGAGGAAGTAGAAGTAGAAGAATACAAAGGAGTTTTAAGTCAGTGGTATTGTTTGTCTCTTTGTGTGTCTCTCGTTTTGTCCTCGTCTGGTGCGCTGTAACCTCAAGATCAAACACTTCCCTAACTTGGATAAAACCTCGTACTCGGACACTTCTGTAATTTGGTCACTTCCTTGGATGAATATCTTTTGAATTGAGACAGGATCATTGAGCTTTGACATTCCGCACATCCTACGATTAGACAAGTCCGACGTTATAAACGCCCACTGTCTTTTTCCAGTTGGAAAAGTTTCAATGTATTGCATCATGGAATTATTGGGGTTCAAGAATAAGTTATGTCGCTCAGTCCACCATAATTTTTCACAAAATTAGAGTTACAACAAGTAATACATATTAAAATATCTTTGCACATACAATTATGTCAATAAAAAGGTAAATTTCAAAATTACTTTTTTTTCTTGTTGAAAAGTTATTTTTGTTAAAATCAAGTTAGTGATGACAGTTTCTGTGTACATTGTTTTAGTATGGCAATGGTTGTTCCAACTTAGCAACAGTTGTGGAGGGAATAAAGTTCTTATTCAGCACTGTTTTGTCGAGATAAACATGGTTGGGTAGTGTCCAGCCAGCGAGAAAGAGGATATTTTATTACGTCGGAACATTGGAAACACCTCTTTTGCGGAAAATCACAACTCCTGCGGTCACGCTGCCGATTTAATTTAATTTCCCCAGTTACTAGACTCTAAGGAGTTGGCGGCACTTTCTCTTGCATCTCTAGAGCTGGCAATGAATGCGGGAGCCGCCTCTGGAGCAGTTGATTCATTGACGGTTTGATCGGTGAACGTGGATGGTTTAATTGTTAGGAGAGGACTCTCGCGTAACTGGGTCACGGTGGGGCTTTGCTTGGGAGTTGGGCGGAGGGTGACCGGGAGGGTGTCTCCCTCAGGTGTCTCACCGCAAAGGCCTGCCGCACGTCATCTACTGCCGGGTGTGGCGGTGGCCCGACCTGCAGAGCCACCACGAGCTGAAACCCCTGGAGTGCTGCGAGTACCCCTTCTCGGCCAAGCAGAAGGAGGTTTGCATCAACCCCTACCACTACAAGAGGGTCGAGAGTCCAGGTGGGTCTCCTCTCGGTAGAACCCGCTAGGCCAGAACAGATTGGGGACAGGAACGTGTTTTAGAAGAACCGATACTCTGAGCGTAGCTTATTTGGTGGCACTATGCGGTTTGTTCGCTTCTTGCGCTCCAACCGGAAGGATGGCGTGTAAAGCTCGAGGCAGCTAGCACGGAGGTTAACCCACTGCCCTTCCGGTCGGAGCCGGTGGGAGCACGCCATTCCAACGTCACCACGACCCCTGCGCAAGAAGCGGACCAACTTGCGCTCCGCATAGTCGCCGACGGGGCTAGAGTGGCATCTCTTTCCGAGGCGTTCGGCGTGCGCTCGTTGCCTTTTGTAGTGCTTTGACTCTGCATGCGGGGCTCACACCCAAGCTTTATAGAAGGTGGGACACTCTGCCAGAGTGTCGAACCGAAATTTTTATTGGTTTGGTTAGGGTTTGCGGCTTTTGGTTCAGTTCCGGGGAACAAAACAGTTTGAACTTCTACAGTAAAACCTTGTTATAACAAAGTTGAAGGAGCGGTCGTAATTATTTCGTTATAACCATTAGTTTGTTATAGCCAATGTCCATTTCTTCCCACTATTAGCAAGCAAGGGGAATTATAATTGCTTTGTTATATCCATTAGTTTGTTATATCCCGTTTTGTTATAACGAGGTTTTACTGTATATTAAAAATATATTTTCCGCTTTCTGGCACTAGGCACTATTTCTGCCATGAAACGATTAACTATATACTGTAAACGACTAAATTTTCACGAGCATCTAATTTTCGCGAATCTCCTACAATTTGCGAAAAATGCATCCCACGAACAATTCGGGCAATATGTGAATGCTACGGAAGCTGCACTCGATTCGCAAAAACTTGAGCCCGCGAAAATTAAGTCATTTACAGTAGTTGTTTTCTATCGTTCGTATGATTCACTTTTGAGGTACCAAAAATATGAAATCCCTACAACTCAACATCCCTTTGCTTACCGGAGTCGCATATATTTTACCCAAACTAAAAGGTTGTCGCGAAGTGTGGTAGTTCGCCTAAAGTGCCCGTGATTGGTACTTTGCATCGCAGTATTCAAAGGTAAATCGTACTTGCACCGACACAATGTCCTAATTGGAATTGGAGTCGTCCGAGATAAAATCCAACAATTCACTTACATCGCTCTCGCTTTCCGATGAACAATTAATTTCCTCGTCTTTTGAATCTGAAGAGACGTCACAATATCTTCGTTCTCGCCCCAATTTTGAGGCAAGATTGTCACTATGAATGCAGCGACCAGTAGTTGACGCTGCAATTTCTAAATCCCTGTTGCCTCCGGTGGCACATTTTTCTGACAAATTCAGAGATCTACCTTGTAATTCTTTTTTGTGAAGCGCCATCTATTTACGGCAAAGCTAACTAGAAACATGCGGACAAATTCAGGTTGTCCATGGTAGGGAAAGAAATGGGGAGAGCAAAACATATATATGCTTAATTTCCTAACGTGATTTTTCAGTTTTTACGCTAACACCATTTTATGCAAATAAGCGGTCGTACATGCTCTCACAAGTAGTGTCAAAGTGCACTCATAGAGAGTCATATCAGCTGGTATGCGCAGTGACATCATGATGGCAGTGCACCTCACTCGCAAACTACCTATCCTGCTCGCCCAAGTGCCTTACTCTAGTTATTGAATTCAAGAAGGGAAAGACAGTAAAAGGTAATCTAAAAGTTTAAAAAAAAAGAAAGATAAAATAAAACGGGCCACATGCTGTTTTTAAATGTTTAGGGCTTTGGGTTGTTCGGGGCGATTGGTGTCCTGGCGACCAGCGCCACAGTGTCAATCATGCTCGTCGTGGCTTTGCCTTTTGGCGCTTCCAGATTTTGCCACTGCAGAACAAACATGCCAAGAGCACCCGTCTTTTTGTTTTTATTTTGATGTTTATGTTTGCTAATTTTTCCTCAGGGAATATTGCTTTGTAGCAGGAAAAGAAACACACACACTAATGCCACAATAAAGGCACGCGGAGAGAATAGCTCTAGCCTCTTGGCATAGTCAGATGTACTCCATTCCACATTACAATCTTCCACTATGGACGCCACGAGCTACCCGCACCAATCCATAGCGCGTAACTACTTGTCACGTGACTGCGCCCGCTGCGGCGCACCGCCTAACCAGAAGGACACGGGGCACTCTCCGAGCCATGGATTGGTCCGGTGGCTCGCCCTTTGAGGTCCGTGGTAAGGTGAAGCAAAGAAGTGTACTCCACCGCACCGACTTTTCGACGCCAAGTTGTGCTGCACACATACGTGAAATGTTTTTGTTCCATTATTATCGAGCTGTCTCCACGACGACGACGTTAGTTTAGTCAAGACTGCTCCGCTAAAGCCACCGTTGCGAACATTTCATTCACTTCACGCCGCCTCCCACGAGATGGCTCGGCTCACATTCTATATCACCAAACTGTTTTCCAATGAACCAGTAACCGCCACATGAAATTACGGTTCTGTTCTATGGCGCACCGTGCATTCACGAGGGCGCCCATCAAACCACTCTGCCATCTCGCCGCGGGGTCGATCGGGATTTCGAATTCGGCTCCCAACGTGCCGCTTTCTCTCCTAGCCACTGGATGGCACTACAGGCGCCCCATGGCAGGCGAGGAGAAACCTCCTTGCCCATCGATCGATATATATCCGGTAGACAGGGTGCGAAGGGCCTCTTAGAACTTCGGATGCTACCGAGCCCAGGCAAGTGTAGGGCGACCGGATCTAGGGTAATCGCGGGGCACGAGGCCTGGGGGCCCTCTTTGTGTTAAGCTTTGGGTTTAACGTGCGTTTGTAAATATTTGTCTAATGTTGCGTGTATTTGTAGTTTAGATTGAGTGTTTTGTAGCGTTGTGTTTTATGTACCAATAAACGGGGAGCGGAACCTTATTCCGCGAAAGAACCAGGCTGGACTCTGGTCGTTGACGGACCACGTGGGAAATGGCGAATCGGCGGCGGTACGCGAATTAGTACAGTTCCAGTTTGGGTTCAATATTATGTGCTTGACTTTGGTTGCGGTGTTCCGGTTCGGTCCAGAAATAACGGTTTTGCTCCGGTTTTCGGTTCGGGTTTTGTTGGACATCCTGGAAAAAGGGAAATAAGCTTGGGATGTCCCAAATACCTCCCTGATCTTGAGCTCTGTTGTCGACTGAGGCGTCTGCTTGCTTCTCACCGACACCAGAGACAACGCCAACGAAGAATCGCTTACATGCGCGTGAATAGGTAGCTTTATTGATCAGGTAGTTTTTGAACACGTTGCTTGGTCCCGCGTTTGAGAGTGACGTCGGGCGTAAGAACTCTCTCACTTGTATGCAGTGCTCCCTCCGGTCCTGGTGCCACGCCACAGCGAGTACCCACCGGGGGGCCACGCCCTGATCGCTCCGGTGTTCCAGCAAGTGGCGGAGCCTCCCATGCCACACAATGTGAGCTTCTCGCCCCAAGGGTTCAGCAGCCCGGCATCTTCGGCGGCCGGGTCGGCTGCGGGAAGCAGTGCAGCGGGCGGTGCGGGGGCGGCCGCTGCGGGGGTGCCGTCGCCGGGACCCAGCCTGAGCAGCTCGGCACCCAACAGCCCCTTCGGACTGCCCGGTTGGTGCCTTTGGGTTGGTCGGGGGAAGATTTGCCTGGTTTACCTGGGCTCCGACTTTGGTCAGTGAGATCCAATCTGCATCTTGTGGAGCGAGCAAAGAATGCGACTCATGCGCTACGAAGCGCCATTGGCAGACGTAAATAACACGAGAGAACTCCGTACGTCGTCTGCTAACGAGACCTTATAAAATCATGAGCCATTCCACTTTGTGAAGGTGCATGACCACACAATGCCGAAGACTGTCGGGAGCCAGAGGAAACTACATAGCGCGACGGGACTGCCACCCGGTGGAAGGAAAGGAAACTAGGCACGCAAGCGTTTGAAATGACGACAAAGACAGGGCAGTGCGGAGCCCTCTACGAGTTTTTGTCGACGCGTACGAAAAATTCTCTGAACCCTAGCCACAAACGGCTTCGCCAAAAAATGTTGATCGTCTGCTACAAACCGAGCGTCGCGGTGAAGTGAGATCAGACGCAAGTTGAAATTGCGATCGTCCGCTATTTCACGTTGGAAGCCGTCGATGACCCACATTTCGTTTGCAAATCCCAAGTTCCACTGCCACACACGAGCCTACATCGACCGGTGGATGAAGGAGTACTATACTCTGTTTCATACTTAGCGTGCAACGCTGTCAAAGCTACCGGCGCGAGTGTGTGGCCTCATCTATGGTGTTGTTTGCGCGAGAATGCGTGCAAATGATCAACGCCATGCTCGCGCCAGTAGCTTTGGCGGCGTTGCACGCGAAATATGAAACGGAGTATAAGGACAAGGACATCCGAGGCTGCACGACCTCTTTTGCTGTTTGTGTTTCTGAGACGTTCTCACCGAAACATTGCTCAATTGTGAACTTCTGAACGGGTTGAAAATATCCGATGAGGAACTTTTTACTGGAGTCCACGATTCGGCAGTATTTTGACGAGGTTTTTTCACCAACGCAGAAATAATGAGAGAGATCTCACCATTGTCCCAAGTACGCCATATCCACTCACCCAAGTCTACTTATGTACGTCAACAGAATAATTTGAGATTTGCAAAAGAAGCGCGGGTTGTCACTTGCTTCTAACGTAATTTCAGCCGACATGGCACCTCATTTCCTTGTGGCTCACAGTTTGTAGTAAACAATCCACTTTTTTTTATCAGTTTATTAATGCGTGACATACCATATTTACTCGTATAATGAACACACTTTTCTTCCCAAACAATTTACACAGATTTGGGGTGTGCGTTCATGATGCGGGGTAAAATTTCTGCATTTACGCACTTTGCGCAAATCTCATTTTAGGTGCCAATATGATACGGCAGGGTGCTGTGGCTTGTCTCCACTGACGGGGGCGTACTCACGGCTGGTTCTGGGTGCACCACAGTAACCATTCTCTGTAAATTGCGAAACTTTTTTAGGGCATTTTCGGCTTGCCTTCTGCAGAAGGAAAAGCGCCCTACGAAGCTCACTCAGCCTGGAGAGCGACGCGACCGTTCTTGAGCCTTAACCACATTCACAATTTCACTCTTCAAAAGCGGACCACAGACGACGGTGTGTTTGTTGACATCAATGCATCCGATAGGCAAAGAATATCCGGGGCTGGGCGATTCCTCGCCCTCAGCTTCGTTAGGTGTGCGTGCTGGTCGGTTTCACGGTTGATTACTTCCGCAACTATACACTTACAGCCATTACGAGAGCGGCTTGGCTTGGCTTGGCTTGACTTGGCATGGCCGCTTGGCGGCAAAAGGAAATTGGCTTGGTTGTGTTTGTCCTTGGTACTCGCGGAGCCGGAAATTGGAGGTGCATTCATTATGCGAGGGGGAAAAAAACATCTCCACGTGGTGAATGATGTTGATTGGGGCGAAGCTCTGGTGGTGCTGATGATACCGATTTTGTTCATAGGTAGTGCTGACGGTGCTCATTTTTTTTTTTTTTTATTGCTCATAGGTAGTGCTGAGTTCCGTGTTGCGTTTCGACTTCCATTATTACAGCTTTATGGTCGGTGAAATGCAGAGCCAGTGGTTCTTCTCATCCTTTCTCATCGTTTTCATCCATGTCAGAAAGAGAATGTCTGGTATGGAACGTGGTTATATACGCATTTCAGTATTTGCATTAATTGCATTTCAGTATTTGCATTAATTGCATTTCAGCAATTAATGCAAATGTGCAGGCGAGCTGGACAAGAATGACTTTAATAATCCCTGTAGAAGGGGGACAAGTGACAAACACAAACATTTAAACACAGCTAGGTGACTGGTGTGCGATCAAACGTTTGTGTTTGTCCTTTGTCCCCCTTCCAGGGATTATTATTGTCATTCTTGACGATAATAATTGTCAAGAATGGCAATGCGGGGACGTGAATGAAAACACCCAACTGTGGCTTCTTTCGGAGCTTTAACGACTAGGAGTGGTTTGTTAATATTGGCTAAGTGTTGGCATGGTTGATGGCACTGAATGTTCATTTTACTTTTGTGGATTTTGCTGCTTCTGCACCAGGTTGTGGCTTCCTGCTTGCTCTTTCTCTCGTTGCTTCTGACACTTTCTTTACGATTTGGCCCCAATTTTTTCCTAGACAGTTTTGTTGTTTTGTGTCCCGCTTGCATTTGACATATTTGCGCAAGTTGATGCCATGTGCAGCTGTCGCATGACTGGGTGTTCGAAAATTTGCTTAGACAATAATCGGTTATTTAGGCAGGGTTGAAATGCGCGAAAATATAATAAAATGATCAGTTTTCTGACGCACACTGTGCTTATCTCTTTTGAAGCCAAGTACCTTTTGTATATATTGTAGAATTATAGAAATTGGGTTAGCTTGGGATCACTTTAAGCAGCAATTGCTAATGTGTGAAAACACCATTGTGATTGCCGTTAGGCTTTTTATTCTGACGAGAAAGCATTTTTTCGGCCTACTGGTGCAGTTTCTTGTTTTGGCCACCAGAGGCAGTGAACTCTAACTGGCTAGGAGGCATCTTTATTTATTTAGACGCAAGAAATAAAGCCTTTGGTGGCGGAAGCATGCTACCGCCAAAACATGTCGGAAAAAGTTGAGCCAGAAAGTCGGCACTAAGAAACCCCCTAAAGTCCGGAGGATTCTGGGAAAACGGTGGGGCAAAGTCTGAATGCAAGCGAAGGGTTTGGAGCGTGTGTGACCTTGAACGCCCTTGTCCTCCTCTCCCAGACCCCTCCTCACCCTCTCCCAGGGAACCCCCTCGCCACCCCTGCAGGAGCCTCCTCCCCTATGACCTGAGCGCCCCTAAAATAATGCGAGGTGTGTGTGGACCCTCCCCCCCACCGCATGGATGCATTGTTTGCTTGGGACCGCCACTAGAGACGTCTCCTTGTCGGACCCTGCATTGCCTTCCGCTTTTTCTCTGCAGTGTTGTCCTTTTCACTGTACCTGTCGTCACTTCAAATGCTGCAATAAAATTAAATTTATATAATTTTAAATCTCTCACAGGCGGAAGAGACCGTGCTTCAGTGTAACCGCATTAAATTTGCTCTTATTTTATATACATTTACATTAAGAGTAAACTGTGGTTTTGTTTAACTTTATATACAAACAGACCATTATTTTTATGGGTAGGCACAATGCCAGCGTAACTTGCCTGAGCGACATGGAAAGGCTGTAGAAGTTTCGTTTGAAGTTGACACGTGTCATTTTGCTGTCCTCGAATTGAGTCGCTCATTTTCCCCGAGTCTTGCTTGTCCAAGACGCTGTAGGCCCTGACGAGGGATCCTCTCGTAGCTGGAATTCTTGTGGGCAGGTGGAGCTGTGCAAGACATCTCTCTTGCAGTTAATGCTTGTGGTTTTTTTTCATAGTGCACACTCTTTTCATCACGATTTAGATGTCTGCAAACGCTGGTTAGAAGTGCACATAATGTATGTATACATGTAATGGCCGCATTTTCTTTTTTTAATTTTAGTGAAAAGTATGGGTGTGAGCATTGCACAAAAACACTTAGTAAATTTCTTTTTGAGGCCAGACATTATTTATTTTTTAAATGGAGCCACCCACACGGATTGTCAGAGGAAGTGAAATTTTTTGAACGCAAGCTGAGGTGGACAACAGCCGCCAAACCGGAAGTAAAAAAGCTGGCTCCGTTTCTGAGTTTGAAATCGACGCATGAGTTGCAAACTGAAGTGGAAATTTTGAGTGCCGTCTGGCGGGTGTTGTTGAAAGATTGTTCTAGAGTCCTTGCGGCCCATGTCGGACTGCGCTTTCAGCCTTTCAAAACTCGGACGCTGGAGGGTTTTCTGGTTGCATGTTGAAAGCGGTTCTGGGTCGCCTTTGCCTGCTGGCATGCCACGCGATACGGGGAGAATTCCGATGCCGTTTGACATGCGTTCCCTTTTGTGCAGCTGAGACCCCGCCTCCGGCCTACAGCACCCAGGACGACAGCCAATCGGGGACTGACAACCAGACGCAATCAATGGACACCTCAACCGTGCCCCCCGGTAAGACCCGTGTTTCAGTGGCATGCTGGCTGGTTGGCATCGGAAGCACTCCTTGTCTGCTTTACTTGCAAAAACTTGGGCCTTAGAAGGGAACACTAGGGAGAAACAAGAAGAAATTCTGCGAAACCAGTTAATTTTGAAAAATGCCCCATTTACATCCATCAACATTTAGAGAGTATTCCCAGAAAGTTCATTTGTTTACACTGCATAGTTATTTTTTTGTACATCTGGTACTTGTTTGGTAATGGTACAAAAGGAAAAGCTCACACATCCTTTTCCCTGACTGGAATTTAAGGGCAATGCAATTGTGGCATTGTTTTTTTTACTTTGTGGATGTCTTTTATAAAAGATGGGAAGATTTTGTCGACAACATAAAAGGCAAGACAAGTTTGTTTTCTTTTTTACTTTTCGGCGCAGTGTTAGCATAAAATAAATTACATTTTGGAAATTTTGTTTTTTCACTTGCACTCTGCAGGCATTCTGCTGCGTGTCTAGCAAAGAAAAATGTTGGGTATTTCGTTAGTTTTCTAGCTATAGTCTTCCTAATCAATGTCAGTGTGTTCCTGATAAAAACAACTACCGTATTTATTCGAATATAAGGCGGTCACGATTATAAGGCGAGGGGGCAGTTGAAGGACCCGAGAAAAAGAAAAAAAATCGTCATATTGCTATACTGAGCTTCGAATATAAGGCGGGGTATGACTTTGAGACTACGGATTTTGGAAAAAAAGCTCGCCTTATATTAGAATAAATACGGTATAATTTCTTTCATTTTTTGCGTACACAGATTAAACTTTGCACTGCATTCTGCCTCGCAAGTGCCAGTATATGCCTTAAAATCTATTCATGTTAGTAATGGTTTATAGGTTAACCCTTTTGGGTAGTGTCCTCCCCTAAAAACGGACACACTCTTGTCCACCTCTTCCTCCTTTCCCATATCCTTTCCACTTTGTTACCTTGCCCCAACTTTATTGACCTTGCAGCTTAGGTGAGGAGGCCGCTGAGAGGATAATCTCCCTCGCAGAAAACTGAGGTTGTCCCTTTGCCCTTAAAGGGGTATGGAAACCCGATTCTGAAGCCCATCTCTGCGCTTAAACATGAAGCGGGTTAAAGCAGGACTGCACCAACACCAATATTGCGTAGGATAACGCGAGAAAACATACTTTAAGGGGAGACACTGGCGTAATTATTAACTTTTGAACTCCTCGTCCGATTTTAATGAAATTTGGAGAGTGCATTTATGAGCAGATGCAGGGGCACTGTGCAAACTTTGACTTCTCTAGGAGGATTATGTAAAAAGTTACATATTTGTGTATGAGGCTGTGGCACCTTTCCTTAGGAAATCTATCGTATGAAAATGAAATGTTAAACCACTGTTTTTATTGCTTGGATATGAAGTAGAGGGTATGTGGCTTTGGGCTATCTAATTTGTATGATTCAAATGTAAATATTTCAGAGAGAAATTCTGTCTCCAAAAATCGTATGCACTTTCTTTGAATGCCATTTTGCCAAAATGTCACTTTTTCTCAGTGATGACTTCAACTTAAAACAAAATGAAGTAGATAGCCCAATTCCCCAGTAAATTTCAGTTCAGAAACACTTTGAACGAGGCACATGGATATGTTTACCATCAAATGATAGATTCCTTGCTACAAAGTTTGCAGCAAAAAAGTGAAACTGAGAAAAACGCATTCAAACATTGAGCACCTTTACTTTATTAGTTTGGCCCAGTCTGTGTCCACTAAAAGGCGCCGGCAGAGTAGGTCTCCCCTTCGGCTGCCTGGTCCCTCTGTGCCTTGGCGATTGCCGCCAGCTTCCTTTGCTTATGGGCCACTTTCGAAGAGTTGAGGGCCTTCTGCTTCGCCTTGGAGACCTTGGCTTGGAGGGCCTTGTCAGCGTGCTGAACCTGGTGGCTTCCGGGCTTGATTCCCATTTCATGAAGGGCCCTCTCAAAGCCCTTGGGGCCCAGGTTGAATTCCAGGACGGCAAGAGCCACGGCAGTTTCCACAGTTCTTCGAGAGGCGAAATCCGTCTTGGGACACCGCCTCCACACCAGAGCATTGAACGACTCGTTGTTGTTCTGCGTTCCCATCCTAGCACACCTCTCGAGTAGGTCCCGCCTTGAGAGTCTATTGTAGAGGGGCACCAACTCCTTTGCGATGTCTCTGGAGAAGGCAGGGCGGTGTGGCTGTGGCTTCGTCGGCTCTCCTGCTGCCTCCAGCGCTTTCTGGCGATTGAAGTGACACCAGGAATGTTCTCCATGAGGGCAGGCCTGATGCCGGGGCTCCTCATCGGTGGAGTAGCTGTGGAGGAGGCTGGCAAACACTGCCTTCTGCATGGCTGGAACGTCTGGGGCACTGGTCTTCAGTGCAGATGCATAGTAGCTGGTCAATTTCTTCATGACAAGGTTCGTTAGTTTGCCCCTTCCACCGAGACCTTTTTTTGTTTTCTTTAGGGCCTCCATGCCAGCATACATTCTTTTGGCGACGTGGTTCACACAGTCTTCTTTCCTCATGCCCTTGTTGTAAAGATCAAGTCCCGCAACATGGTTGAAGGCTTTACTGTCTCCGTCGCACAGCACTGTCACATACTGCAGGTTGTGGAGTTGAACAGACCGACGGAAGATCTCGTCTGCTGCTTGCAGCTCCATCGCATTTGCAGACCCAGCAAAGTTCTTCTGGCATACTGCCCTGTGATTCTTGGCCCAGTCTTCATGGCTGTCAGATCCCTGTGCAGGTCCAAGGCTACATCCATGGCAATAATTGCTCTGGACAGAATAGTCCAAAACTAGTCCAGTCTCAAGCTCGATGGCAACTCCAACACCAAAGTGTGAAGTGTGCCCACGCTTATGCCAAGTGCCATCATATGTCACACAAACGTCCATCAAATCGCCGCTATCTGACTCGCGTGTTTCTCGTACAGCTTCTGCTGCCTTGCTCATTACGTTGCTGGCTGCTCTCACTGAGGCGTCGTGGACCTTTTCTCCCAGATCTTGATAAGATCGGAGATGCATGGGCTAAGGAGCATTGATACCGGCAAAAAAGTTCGTAAGCTTCGTGTATCCGATTCCACATTCACGAGACGCAAGAGAAATCCGTGCTGCCAATTCATTCTGCCGCGAGTGTCCGATGGTCGACGAGTGCGGCGTCCGAGCAACGTCCCCGCAGTCTGGGCAGGCGACGACGAATTGCGCCTGAACTCCCTTGCCACTCTCGCTTAGCTGAAGGTCTGATCCACGGCACACTGGGCACAGAAGAGCGGACACCAGTGTCTCGATGGCAGATAAAGCAACCAGACGATAACCTTCGGTTGGGGCACCGTCGGGAGCAGCGGGAGCGTCCGTGGGATCCGCAGCGGGATCGCTCTCTTGCAGTAGCGAGATCTTGCGCTCTATCGCCGTGAGCTCCTCCACAACCTCATAATCTTCAGGAAGAGACGAAGAAACGTCGGCTGGTTGTTCAGAGGTCAGGTCCTGAAGCGACGAACCGGGAGATGGTGACGCGCTCGGGAGCGAAGCAGCTGACGCGTCCGACGTGGTTCCGTTAGGGTTAGCGCATCGTACGCGTCCACCTGACGAGCCTCTTGGTTTCACAGAACGGCGGCGAGCTCCAAAGGCTTGGAGGGAATGCCGTTTAACGGCCGGCATCGCGGCGACGAGACCGTAGATAAAACGATAAAACTGTGAGAAATATATAACGAGCAAGCAAAAGAAGCGAACGTTCGGCCGAAGCAACGAGACGAAACAATTCGGGCGAGCGGATCACGTGGGGTGTCACGGGCCAATCCAGGCTTGAGTTTCGTTTTCAAGCCAATTATAGCCGACAACTAGAGGGCTCTGGCTTTGTTCATGCTTACTCTCGAACGAAGTTTACTATCGTCATAAAAGCCCGAAGAAACGACGCTTCTAACGAGGGTATCAACATCGCGGTAGGCCAAATGGGCGCGGAGCGGTCGGCATTTGAAAATGGCGAATATTGTCAACCGATCGCGCGACGGAACGACTCGGGGATAGGAGGCGCGTCGCCGACCTGTCGAAAATCTTTTATATCGGCTTAAATACTCGACGTACGGGCATGAAATTTTATGGAAGGGTACATCATTAGTTTCTGAAATCAGATATAACAAATTTGAAAAATGCACTTTTTTAAAAAAAATCGGGAATTGGAGCCCGTGTCCCCCCTTAAACCAAATAAAACAATGACCAAAAACTACTTGGTGGATGTCTGCGAAGCTTGGATGGAATGTTGCGACGACAAGATGTTAGAGTTGCGCCACAGTGGGATGCATGCTCCTCCATAGAGATGACTTGGGCGCTTTGGTGCAGAAAGTAACGGCAGAGTTGGCCACCATAAGTTTTTGTATCGGGTGGCCTTTCCGGCAACGCTGGTTGGGGTGGCTGGGGGACTGTACATGCGATGTAACGTCTTTTTAAAGCGGCCCGAATGCCCACCTCTTTCGATGACGGGATAGCCGCCTCAATCGACTGTGACTAACTCAATCACTAAGTCGACGCAACTACGATCGTTGCTGAAAGGAGACGGCCCGTACGGCTCTGCAAAGCGGCGCGCATGCAAACAAATTGCCGCGACATTTTTCGTGGCCTCGGGGATGTGGGAGGAGCCGACGTCCAGGAAGATACGTTTGGATCAAAAGAGTGTCGGCAAGATCCACGTGTACGCGTGCACGGTGCCAATGCGCATCGGAACTGCATTGGTACTGCACTCTCGGTAACCGCTTCGAAAACAATCTTTTACGACCGATTTTATGAACCACCGGGTCAGTAGACGATCGCAACTCGACGCTGACGTGACGTTCGACGGAGAAAGGTTGTACCGGCATTGCGTAGCTCCCAAAAAAAGAATGCTTTAATGTGTTGGAATAAAATGGACGTAATAAAAAAATGTGTACGTACGCACCTTGCGAAGGCAATTTATACGGTGTTTATTTAAACCCAATAACGCAAAAAAAGGAGACAGAAACGAGGAGAGTGTCCCTTTAGA